CGTAAAACCTCAGCCTCTCTACAGCTTGGGCAGAACAAAGGCAAACTGATGAGTGGAAATGGCTTAGCTTGCAGAGAAAAAAAACCAAATCAGTTCAGGTTTTTGATAAAATAAATACAATCAATATCAAACAAAGAAAAACAATGGTGCTGTACAACAAAATAAAATTAAATTAATACCCCATAATTAAAAAAGGTGATCATAAAAAGTTTAATACACTGTAGCTGTCTTAAGACTGACATTCTTCCTTTAAGATATCTGCTTACCTATGTTTTGCTTTACTCCATTTTCATCAATTGACACAGTTGGAGGGATAGCCTAAAAGAAGCCATCAACAATCCATCTCTGTTATGAAATGGCAAGAGAGAATGCACATTTCCATCACATGAAGAGCAGAAAAATTTCTTTGGGAAATCATGACATCTTATAACTGTTTTCCCTTCCAGACATATCCGACCATGATCTGGTGAAGGGAGGCTCTCACAATTAAGGAGAGCTTCCAGCAGCAGCTTTCGGTTTTTATCCCAGCTTGATGACAAATTCACCATCCAGGTCTCCCACTTTTTAGATGGAACATTTGTAGAGCTGAGAAACTCATTGCATCTTGCCAAGGCAGCCTCAATATTGTCTGTGGAACAATATTCATATCTATATTAAAGAAGAAGAATTCTAAGCCAGAACTCCAAAAAAATTTCTATTACATCTGAGATGTATAAGGAAATAAATTATTATTATTATTATTATTAAAAAATTAATACTATTAATATATAGTTTAAAAATTGCTAATATTACTGATAGTCTTATTTATTATCCTTAAGATTGTAAGATTTAAAGTATCCAATAAAGTTTTGTGTTTTATTATTTTATTATTATTGTTATTATTGTTAGAAATGCACATTTCTCCCCAACCAGCAGAAGGGATTGTCTAGAGAATTAAACATTCATTATGTATGTATGTATGCATGCATGTATGTATGTGTGCTAACACATAAAAGAAAAATTAAGTAACAAATTGAAATCACATTTTTGCAAACGTAAACCTCAAATCATCAAAAGAAACCAGTTCTTCAACTATCCCTACATTTGCAGCTGGTGAGTCGCACATTCTATCTTCCCTTATAGCGTACACTGACAAATTATAAAATTACAACCATCAAAGTGTGGCTACCAGTTTCATGTGGATAAGATAAAGGTTACCGTCTACGCTAGATGATGATGGCATGTACTGTTGATCCACGCCAATGTCGCAGTCATCGGAATCCACCGAATCATCTGCTTTCGCTGGATCTAGATACAAAAAGGTTTACTTTGTTACGGGAAAGAAAGTTCGAAGTAATCATGATTTTAGCAGCAAGGAATGCCGTGAAGCATGATAATCATAAACCCATAAAATTATATGAATGTACTTGCCGCTTGAACCCAGTCAACGGATCCCGAAAAATACGGAACCACTTGTTCTTCTTCGGCTTTTTTCTATTATCAAGTAGTTCATTTGCTTCCTCTAAGGCCTCGTGGAGCGCTGTTTGGGCGTCTTTTTTTTGGAGCCTTTTTTAACCTTGACGACGCCATTTTGATTTCTCCGCGGTTCGTATGAAGGCATCCTCGGAGACCCAGGGGCAGTGAGGCGATTTCAAGCTAAGGGCAGAAGAGCCCCTGGGGACATTGTCTTACAAGACTAGTTCCAAACGGTCGCAGTCGTTCTGGCATCTGATTGGTGCCAGAAAATCTTTGTGTTTTTCTGCCCAATCAGAG